AAAGCGAGCAAACTGCGCTCCATCCATGTGCATAAAGTCTAGCGCCGCTTGGCAGAGGCTATTTATTGTAATGGTCTATATAGGCAAGGGCTCGAATTGTGCAATGTCTCATTGGCAAACGATGGCGGTTTTGTCCCGTTGTGTCTTCTGGTTTCAGCTTTGGACACGGCCTGTCGGTAAACTTGAACACTATAATTTTTTCGTATTTATCGCGAGACAAACATTAGGGACCCCTAGACTGGTCAAACGCAAAGTGGGGACCATAGATAACGGAGCGCGCCGACTGGATTTTCGCGACGATGGCGCCGCCGCTTGTCCAATCTGCGCCTTCCGCGAACTTTCGGCTCTCACTTTGCGTTTGACGAGTCTAGAGCACCAGATGCAGTGCGATTTGACGCCCTTGAAGATCTAGTTTTTACACTTTTAATCTACCGTGACCGAAATACTAAAAAGAAGAAAAAAAATTATCTGCCAGCGCAACAGGTAATATATATATATATATATATATATATATATATATATATATATATATATATATATATATATATATATATATATATATATATATATATATATATATATATATATATATATATATATATATATATTGTCAACATTCCGAGGACGCCAAATCTGTTTCAGATTTGAGGGCGTGGCAGTCACCACCGCTAAAGCTTATACGAGGCAAATCGCAACGCGTTTCCGTGTCCACGTCTATAGGTCCCCTACAGTTTAAGAGAAGTAGGGCGTGGCGTTATTATTATTACCGCCCTGCAGTCAATTAAATTAGGTTATTACACCCCGATAACAACACCGGAGAAGGAATCTGAAAGAAAGAAGTCCGAACGTAAGAGACGTTTCTTCCTCTGTCGTCGACTATAATTATCCAGACAACTCAAACACAGTTGACGATTTTATCGGACAATATACATATAGTAACGGCGGGTGGGCTCTGCGAGACGTAACAACGCGAGACTCAATACCGAGTTTTAAATAGCGTACACGAATGCTTTGCGCACGTACACAAATAGTAAGCAGTTGCAGTATACCGCGCTGCAGACGCACCCTCGCCACATGCAATTGAATAGCGCATACGACGAAAAAAAAAAGTATTTGCCGGGATTCATTTTAGTTGCGTGTTCTGTTAGCGTTGCCGAGTAAACTTCTCACATGCTATTTTTGATTTAATTCCGTATGATACCAGAACGACATGCTCCTCAGAAAAGAAAAATTTTAAATAAAAACGTTTTCAATAATTTTATTTAAAATTAACTTAAGCCGCAACTGTCTGGTCAAACGCGCTTTTCTGCGGAGTACGGAAGCTATACGTGTACGAGTACGTAGCAAAATTCGACCGCGGTGCCTTCTTCAATCATTCTGGAGAGACGGCATGTTTATCGATGCTATATTGGTAATAAATTCGATTTAATTCGATTCATTTTATTTTATTTCCTCCCATGTTACAGATGGGAGATGGAGGCAGGCAAGAAAGCTGCAGAGGTGCAGCTTGACAAAGTCCCCTATTGACAGATCGGCTGACAGGAAAAATGCCATACTATAAGGCAGAAAAAAACAATGAAATAGATAAAACATCTATCGGAAATAGGATAATACTTTGCGTATCGCTTGCTTATTTATCGCATTTATACAGATATTTTATTTTTATTTTTTTTTTTTCATTTAGGGAAGGTTGGATATCTGTGCTAAATTATCTAAAGCCCATAATTAGTTTGAGGAGGGGGCACTTTCAGGGAACCGATGATTGAGAATTTTAAGCGATGTCCCGTACGTTGTCGAACGCTTATATGATGTATATTTTTTTCTTCCTACTTCCTGTTTAAAAAAAGCGGTTCGGTATGTGCGCAATACTACGCATTAACTACGACCCAAATTGCTTTCTTCTGCAACATCAACAATTTGTTCAGGTTAGTACTTGTAGTTCCCCAATCAAGGTGACAGTATAGGATAAGAGAGACTTTAATATTGCAGTATAAATGGGTAGCTTTCCAAGTTGGCAGGATATGACGATACTTGTATAGAAGCTGTATGACATTAGCAAGTTAAGAGTAAGGTTTTCAAAATAAAAAAAACTATGTTCGAAAAAAAAAAATTTCCCGCCTAACAAATTCAATCTCAGATTAGTTCAATATTAAATTTGCGGTGCCATTGCGCACTGAACTTTTCGCATGAAAATAACAGCTTTATTTTTTTACTTTCATTTGTTCTTAATTTAACCAAGTGCATGACCTAGTGATGTCCAATATGGAGCAGCAACTCCAGTGATTTTCTGAAGAGTCGGCAGTTCGTCGGCGACGAACCGCGCGATGAGTAAGGCCTATAGTGGTGATCAGATCACAGCGCTCTTGCAGGCGGTGAACATTTTGACTCTGCACTCCTGCAGCTGCACCGTGATCGGCCTCGACTGCGGTAGGACCCGCAAGGACTTGCCGAGCTGAACTCCGCGTAACTTCGCGTAACGCTCAACTAAGTGAACATCATGTCGCCCATGACTGCCAGCCGAGGTAGCACTCCTCTTAAAACTAATGCTCTCGCTGGGTCCGAGATCCCCCGAGAACTTCCCACAAGAGACCCGCAAAGCACGCTAGACCGCAACGCAATCTCCCTAGAGTTACGTACGTGTGCGCAATACGCTGGCGTTTCTGCTCGCGTGCGCAATCCCCAGCCGCAACTTCCTTGCACACGGAACACTTTTAAGTATACGACCCATCATCGCCGCTGCGTATCCGACGAGCCCTAACCGCGTTTTGGATTGCGTCATGACGACGGGGCTATTTCCTTGCGTATCGCGAGGCCTTCGGGTATATTTTCTAAAACTCGCTAATGTCAACACCCCGCCAGCCTTGCTTTACCAACGGATATCTTGCGAGAATACTGGCATTATTCACGCACGACGGCTGGCTGCCAGTAATATTCCGGTAGCCCCAAAGCTCGTCCAGTCAGGTTGACCCTGCATGCGTCCGGGCTACCGTGTGGCCCCAGTCTTATTAATTCAGCTGCTTGTAATTATCGGGTGACGACGGATGGGGGGGCCGCTCTCTTTTACGGCGGCGGTGCTCACGAGCCAAGACAGGAATGGAGGGGATCCCCCCCCTCTATGCGGGCACACGCGTTGGCCGCGTAAAAGTAGGAATTATGCAATGGCCCGGACCTCGTTCAACGGGGGTCATATCCCGGTAGCCGATCGATGGCAGTGACTGCGAGAGACTTTATGACCTTCGCTCTCCTGCAGATGTCCCATGACCAGGACGATTCTGAAACACGCGCAAAATGTCCGCGCACGGTGCGTCTGTTTATGGTGTGTGTGTGTGTGTGTGTGTGTGTGTGTTTCTGTTTGTGTGTGTGTGTTTGCGTGTGTGTGTGCGTGTGTGTGTGTGTGTGTGTGTGTGCTTGTGTGTGTGTGTGTGTGTGTGTGTGTGTGTGTGTGTGTGTGTGTGTGTGTGTGTGTGTGTACGCGCATAGATGTTTGCAAGCATCCGTGCTTCGAGAGCTAGTCTGGCCACCGCAAATAAAAGAGGCTTTGTTTGGGCGCCATTCTGGAAAGCGTGGGTACGCCTCGGCGATGCTTGACTATCAGACGATCTACACACACCAATAGCAAGATGGCGGCACCCAGAGGTGGTACTTGCAAACGGCTATACACGCTAGAAAATACCTGCCGGTGTGCTGCCCCGCAATCGGTGCAGATAGGAGATATCAGTTAGGAGTAAAATATTGAAAACTGAAATCGAATTGAAAATAGAATATTGAAGCGGTACTTTAGGGACCTATCGTTGGTAAATGCATTGATGTCACAGACCATAGATGGCGAATAATACTTTAGTAGCGTCTCCCAACAGAACATTACTAAGGGGATCACTTTGCCGAGTAATACTGCACGGCAGCTCGAAGCACTTCAAACAAAAGCTCGCGTTGCAGAACCCCGAGATTCTGGGTTTAGTAAGCACTCCGGTCAGGATGAGCATCGTATACCGGTGTGCGATCGTGTGTCACCACTGATTGATGCACGTTAAAGATCCGAGGCGACTGCACTGGTTAAATTTCTCACCTACAACGGAGACATTGTCTAAACAAAAACCCGACCCAACATCTTCACCACATTGCACGTCGGTCAACGTCAACTAACACGGCACTTGCACGTGGAAGAACCTTTCGTGAATGGTTTATTTGCAAGAAAAGACCTCGAAAGGCTACATCTGACGAATCAACTTCGCCCTACTGCCTCACTTTGTCTTGATGTCCTCGCTGCTTAAGCCCGTAACACAATTACTTTTATGCCCTGAACTGAGCAGGTTTCCGTGAAACGTTACGTGGCAGGGTGTTACGCTTGAACTTTGATCTTCCCGGCTAAATGTAGCGGGAATTGTTCAATGACGTTTCTACGGACTCAGTGTCAATAGAAAAACATAAATGGAGCAAACTTCGATTCACGTTTCGTGGATAATGTTGGATTGGATGTCATCTAGGATGGCACCTAATCGAAGCCGAACTTGAACTCATGCTCCAACCCACGGCCTTTTTCAAGTACGCGCACGCTTAAAGGGAGCGGATCTCGACGGCAGCAAGCTTTTGCATCTCTGTACGTTTTTGCGTTAATCTGGATGTTTAAGAATGTGTGCTTAGTGACCTATTGTAAACGGTTCACTTTATAGCGTAAGTAGCTGCATGGCGGAGAAAAAAAAAAAAAAAAACCCTGCCAGCTCTTCTACTTATTCCAGCAAAAAACAACAACAAGAAACATTTGTTGGTACATGTCACATTTTTTGTTAATGCTCATCTGCCCACATTAACAAAGCCTAAAAACTAGCTCAACTAAAATCCGAAATGTTGTCAGACTTTTCACAATATAGCGTCTACAAAGCTACACACCAAAAGCATTTCATAGTCCAGTCAACATTCCCGCATCTGGCGTTATCCGTCTCATATTGCTTACCGCTTTTTGCCACGTCTATGCTGCAAACAAAAAGCCACGACGGGCTCACCTTCTCGTTCTGGTAGGCGGTGACGGCGATGAACTCCGTCTCCTTGAAGACGTACGTCCTGAAGGTGCTGTAAGGCAGCTTGAGGATGTCGTTGGCGCGCACCAGGTGGAACCGGGGCTGGTACTTGTGCATCGAGTTCAGGATCGTCTGCCAGTGGGACAAGAAGAAGCCCTGAACGCCTACTCCAAACGTCATTCGCCATAAAAGCAGATGCTTCGCACGAGAGCAGGTGCGTAGCTTTCGCTCTCACGCAGTAAATCACGAGAATCGGCCGCAAATACCGAACAAAATGGGAAGTTAGTCCAGCGGGAACACCGATAGTATCATGATGTGGGTGAGGAATATCTCGCTGAAGAGAAACTATAACGTACTAGTTACCCATTTTGGGTCCCGTGCAGACGAGAAACTGGGGTAAATTACTTCGAAAAGCGTAGTTTATTTACACGTATAACAAATTTTCTCCAAGATTAGTTATGGCAATTAGAGTTTCTTAGCGCCAAAACAGTAGTTAATTACAAGTATCAACTCGTTTCAGAACCAAAACCTAGCATTTAGATTTCTTTGACACTTCAATATGTACTTCAAGGATGCTGGTGATTACATTTTTCAGCACTGAGACAGACTTGCTAATTTCTTGTCGGATGGTAGGAGGTTTATTTTGCGACGTTTTACGTTTGCTCCATATTTCTTCATGTAGTACTTGATTAATGGCCTGTTATAAACGAAGTTTTTGGGCACATAGTATAGAAGCCCAATCGTGACGACAAGTGGGATATTTAACGGAGATCTATTCACTACATTTTAGTCAAAATTAGCGCATGGTTCCTATAAGAAACTTGCTGAGCGTCATCGAAAACTACTGAATTTGTAACCTTTGGAAAGGTTTGGAGCATGTGGGATTGATCGTGCGCTCAAGTTAAAGCTCGTAAAACTTGCGGAAGGCTGGCACTATACGAAAACGCGGACGATAAGAGACGGAAAAACCGCGTGGACGCGTTTTCGCACCTCGAGACTTCAGCCTGTTGCACGAGTAGGCACTTTAGCGCACCACTGCGGCTTCTTGCGCGCTTCAAACCCGTCCGACATTTACCGATTTAGTGGCATTCGGTGGCGCTCATCAAGTTTGCAATTGCAATCATATGTTTATCTTTAGTAATTAAAAAACGATAATTAACGAAGTTTCCTTTATCGTCAGACTTGACGTGGCAAATAGCCCCCTATATTATTCCATCCTGGCTGTATAACTCAGCTACACAAAACGCATCAGTGCAGCTTTCGCGGCGCTTTCAAAACAAATCCGTGAAGCCTAAAACAAACAAACACACACACACACACAAATTATATTTGAAGTGCACTGTCAATATGGTATGATGCAGTCGTGTTATTATTTTGCAACGCCACCAATATTCTTAGCGTTTTTTTTTTATGGCAGTTCAAAGGTAAAATTAATCTAGTACTGTCGACCGATAGGCATTAGAAAAGCTGAAGAATGCTCGTTCTTCTAATTAGTCTGGACATGCATGTCCAGACTAATTAGAAGAACGGAGTAATGGTCGAAAGGAGTCGTGATAAGATATTCGATATTTACGTCATAATCGCATCATTTTGGTCCTTTCGCCCCATCCTGCGAATGCGAGGCACTCTCGCTGTATGGGGGATATCTTTTCTCTGCCTCTCCGCCGGAGCTGTGGCTTCGACAGTAGCTCAGCAGTTCGTCCGTAATCGGTCACTGAGCACGCTACACGGGCTTTCAAAGTCCCATAACTTATCAGAAGAACAATGAGGCTTTCAGTGTATTTTCACCAGCCAGTAACTCCATAAACGAGGGTCTAGTGGCACTCTCGTCAAAAAACGCACGTGTAATATAAATTAAATGATTCGATATTAAGGTGAACAAGAAATCCGCGATACAATTAAAGCCACAATTACCATTCGGTAAAAGTATTCAATTGCAATCACATTAATTTACTCATTGCAATGCAAATTACTAGCCAAATATGCTATGCTATTTAGGCAGCATACAGCAACCACCTTCGCTCGCGAGTAATAGTGCGGTTCCCCATCCCGCTCACGACCATCGGCGGCCTCGTGTTCAAACATCCCAAGATTTTGTGCGAACTGCAGATGCAGCAGCCCATGTTTGATCCTTATTGTTATTGTAAATAATACTATTATTATTTACCAGCCGAAAATAACCGAAATGAATGTTCATTGAGGCCACGAAAAACGAGAACCAAGTTGTTTTACAAAGACTTCAAAACTATAACAACCCCGTGTATTTTGTTTTTTAATGTTATCTGCTTAACAACCATTGGCTCAGATATTCGTCGCAGCGCCAACAAACCCTCGCGCAAAGCCAACGAACTTTTCCACCAGGTCCCCCCCCTTTCCCAAGAGTCACGACATGGAAGTTTGCGTGTTCGTTAACGCGTATTTTCCGCCCTAACGAGCTTTGAGCTTTGGCCGTCGTCGCGAAAGTCCCCCCAACGTCGCCACCGCGCAAGCGACGCTCCCTAAGCCCCTAAGCTGACTGTGCGGCGGAAGCTACGCTCTCAGCGGACCAATCAACCGCTTCCCTTTCATCACCTGACCTTCCGCTCTCCGCGCGTGGGTACGGGGGCGGGAGCGTAAGCACGTGGCAAAGGACGGACGCAAGACTGGTCCGGCGAGCACGCAGCTTCCAACCCACTGCCAGCGTACGGGTGAACCGAGTACGCAGCCTCAGCCTGGGAAACGGCGTCGCCGAGGCAGCGGCCACGCGACCTGGCGTAGCCCCAAGCCGGCCGGCTGATCACCGCCACCGCCACGACCCCGCGCGCGGGGCTCCGAAATACCGGGCCGCGGACGGACGTGCCTGTAACGACACCGCAAAAGGCCGCCCCGTCGCATCGCGGGGAAGAGGAGGCTTTGTGCCCCGGGTAGGGGAAAGCTCTCGGACAGAGGGCCCGCGCGCGCGTGCTGCGGCCGCTGCAGCAGCGGGAAGAATTGCCCCGCCAGGCTCATCCGCGGACGCTTCTATAATGGCGGCACAGAGACCGTGCCAACGCAGCGGCACCGGCGGCGCTATAATAGGACCAATTTGGAACCGGGCACATATCTCGCGGCTCGGACACACCGGGCCTCGGTCTGTCCATGCTTGTGCGCGTGCGTGCACGTGTGTGTGTGTGTGTTTCTGTGTGCGTGTGTGTGTCTTCGGGCCCCTGTTAGCGACACGGGCTGCGAGAAACGATGGCACGTATATTCCATATCACCGTATACGATGGACCGCAAAGAACGCTACGAGTCATCGAAGCCAATCCGATACTGCAAGAGAGCCACGTGACTTTCGGGAGGGACGCCACGCCGTGCCGGGTGCGTAGTCAAGTGGCACGTCTGTAGCGCTAGATTGGCTGGGAGGGCTTTCTGGCGTCCATAGAGGTCCATCGTAAAGAGAAATGGAAGGTATAGTATGGGATCAGGCATCATCTATGATCGGACCTGGCGATCCCGTGCGCCCCCCCCCCCCCCCCCCTCTTATAGCACGCTGTTGGACTGTTCGTGCGTCAGCGTCGTTCCATGGGGCTGTTTACAAACGAGAAGTCTGTCTGCACGTCCACTGCGGGAGCTGGGGAATACAGACGTGAAAGAGCGCGGAGCAGCCGTGTATGCCATCGATCGCGACTTGACTTTGACGCGATATATCAGCTAAAGCGGCTCGGAATGCGTGTAAGCACGTATATACGGCATCTCGCGTTTAAAACGCTTTTACATCTTAAATTGTCGCTATCCTTAACATCGCAATTAGCAGTCGGGATACCAACGTGTTCAGCAACCTGCGATCTTGCCAACAACAGTCGCCGCAGATAGCTTATCTATACTTGGAGGACCTAACTGAAATTCTTAAGCAGGCCGTGCGAAGCATTCACACGCAGTATCGGAGCTTCTTTTTACCTAAAAGAGAAAAATTCCCGCATTTAGATTAGGGGCATATTCTCAAGGAGAGTTTTTTTTTTTTTTTTTTTTTACCAGTGTGACGTGATAATTTATGCTAATATTATGAAAGATTACCATTTTCTTTAAACATTTGGGACGGGCTTAAAGAAACTGGTGAACTTACACCATCTCGCCGCGGCGCCATCATTGTGTTATCGTTACGAAGGATGTAACGTTTTAGCAAAGGCTCACGCATCATGAGCGCGGTCCAAAGTACGTTTGGAACTTGTTTTCGTCCAGACTGTCACAGAATGTTGTCCCCGAGAACAGCAAGTGACGGGTTCCAAGATATATTCAGCTAGTGGGAACCACGAAATTTTTGTCCGATTTCTCCAGCGCATAAATCGCCCTCCCACCTCGTGCCTTTGCGCGGGCCATCTTCGTCGCTTCCACACATTATCTCTACCACGCCATTCGCCTTCTTGTAGCCCGCTGCATACAATATAAATGAGGGCTTTGTACACGAAATAATAGAACTATATTCTAAAGACACACGCGAAATCCATCCACGCGCGCAACGGGAAGGATTGCATATTTTTTATAATGCAATTTCGATCCCACAAACTTGTAACCTTCATATGCTGTTTCATGTTGAAAAAAGAATAAGCGAAATAAAAAAAAAAAAATTTAAAAGTGTTTCCTGCATTACCTACGGTGAGTCATATATATTTCACTAAACTGGAAATCAGCTCAAACGTGACTTCTATACTGCTCAAAATCAGTTGGCCACCTTTCGTGCCACGACAATCTGTCGGCCGTAGGAGTGAGAAACGAAAATCGTCAAGGAGTTTGCCTTCGACGGACGCGGCGTAAATTACAAACACCCGCTATAATAAAACTGAAAAAAAAAAAGAAAAGAAAATTGTCCTGCAGATACATGTTTTTCTTTTCTTTTTACGCTCACCCTTTTTTATATTATGTTATACCACAATCCTTATCGTTAACAGGTTTCTGTATGCCATGAAAGCAACCTTCGTGTTGGTTTTTCAGCTATACATCTGGTCACTGACAGATCGTAACTCGAGTCGTGGCGACTCGCGACAGTCTAACGCATTATATCGCTTCACGTCGGCATTACAGTCGATAAGAAGAAACAAGAACGAACTGCGAATCAAGAATCAAGAACATAAAAAGTCGCGCCCTGCGTTCCTTACGTTGCGGTCAGCTAGGAACCG